TTTCCTGTTAGATTTCTCCATTGCCATAGCTCCTCCAGTTGTTTCCCCACAAAACACCCCAGCACCTAACGTCAAGCACCTAAATCAAACGCTCAGCTAATTCAGAGAGCTGCTTGCTGTTAATGTGCCTTTTGTTGCATATTACTTTAAGGCTTAATTGGCAATTGAATGCAATTGGACATTGACAATGAGAAACAAGCAAGTATAAAAGGATTCTGGGCAATTGACTGGGCAGATTGTAGAAGAGAGTATAAGGTTGAAATCAATGAACTCGTGAATCTAAGCTGTGTTCTGGATTAACGAACATTACACCTACTATCGCATTCAAAACAATAATATGGTTTGAAATTGATCATGCAAATTTCTGCTTTCGCTGAATTAATAGTTCAGGCTGTGAATAATTCAATATAAATTTAAAAAGTAGATCCATTCACCATAAAGATTTAGCATATCCTTAATCCTTGCATTTGATATAGCACCCCACCATATCATTGAAACGTCTCAAAGCGCTTCATACAATATACTGCAAAGTGAATTGACCATATACCCTGGGGGCAAAACACACAGTGATTCATTTAAATCACATCCCTGATCAGTATTGCAAGAAAATTAGCCTACACAAGAGCCATCGGACATTTTTTTTTTAGTTCAGTGATTCATTTAAATCACATTGATAACCGTGCTGGAGAAAGCTGCAGTTAACTACATAGACATGTCTAACCATTGATGCAAACTCTCTCACCGGGAGATCTCAAGGAATTTGCTTCATGGAGTCCTGTAGCTCAGTGGTTAGAGCACACGACTCACAAGTGAGAGACCTGGGTTTGATTCCTGGCAGGGCGAAATGTTGGGCAAGTTTCCTTACTCCACACGCCTCTGTTTACCTAGCAGCAAGTAGGAACCCAGTTGTTAGTCAATTGGCGGATCACTTTTCCGGAGGTAGTAATTCCTTCAAATAAAATAATAATAAAATTGGTCACTTCAATCCACAACTATTTGTGGGACACTGCTGTGCGCAATTGGCTGCTGCATTTCACCCAAAAAATATACAGTCAAAGCACTTTACAGTATATTCTGTAAAGGACTTTGAGATGTTAGAAGACATGATAAAGCGCTATATTTGGAGAGGTGATTTTGGGGTCAGTCCTCTGTAAAGAGGAACTATTACAGGTGGGGTCTCCAAGAAAAACCTGGAGATATTAATGGCCTGGAATACACTCAGCATTCTAAGAAAATTTACCTACAAAAGAGTCCTACACTTCACATCAAAAATAAACACAGTGAAGCACTGCGAGACAGTTAATGATGTGACAAGGCACTACATCAAAAACATGGCAAACGAGTGGACGTGTGGAAAAATAACTTACTTTGAATTTGCGGAGGCAACTTGAATGCTGCACGGGAACAAATAATTGTCAGATGAGATTATCTTCCAAAATGATTCGCAATTCAAGCCTTTTTCAAAAAAAATGCTTTAAAGCAAAATCTGGGTAATTTTCTATATAATAATATATTTAAACCACTCGTAACATATTTGTTCCAAATTAAAATAGTCACTACACAAAAACTTTTTTGTATTAGTAATTTTACCTTTGATATTGCACATGCACTGTTGGTTACCTTGCTACAGAAATCACAAATGAATGTTCCTTTTATGTTTAAATCACTAGATGTACAACATTGAACAAAGGAATGGACGGATTCATTGTGAGAGCAGGTATTACAATGGTGTCTATGAAACCCTTTCTTCTAAAGAGTAGGTCTTGTCTATTCTTATTTGCTTGCTTTTATTTGTTTCCGCCTTTTAAAGCTGCCAGCAGTTTTCAAGAGTTAATCTGTTCAGTGGTTTGTGCAAGTTATGCAGACTTAATGTGCAAGGGCTGGCTAGAGCATTACATAAACATGAGAAATATCTCCATTTTGAAGTTTATGAAGTCAGCAAAGAGCAATTTTTTCCTGCAGTTGCTACATTTATGAATTAAATTACATTAATAAACTGCCATATTTGCATTCACTAGAGGCTGAATAAATATGACTTGATGTTTGTAAGTTTACTGTTGACTAATATCTAATCTGTCAGAGTTGTAACTGAAGTTCTCATTAGGTCTATTGAACTGATCCAATTTGAGAAGATGTCTTTGCATCCATCATGCAGATACAACAGAGAAGATCTGATTAGTCTCTGTACCAAACAATATAAATTGAAGTGCTATGTCGCTGAGATCCCAGTAGAATTTTTGTTTTAAAATAGTAAATAGCATTTCTTCAAGGGAAGTAAATGAAAATTTTGTTTGTGATGTAAAGTACACTGCAGCAATAGAAGGTATACATTGAAGGCATTTAATCTATTTATATTTGCCAGCACCTAATATCCTTGCAGACCCTTAACAGGACATTTTGTGCACAAAACTTTACAGTGTGTGAAACACTTGGAGACATCCTCCTGACATGAAAGGTGCTGTAGCAAATGCAAGGATATTTTTTTATTTTGCAAAGTCACATTATTTATTTTGAATGAAGAAGTCATCCCATCTGATCTCTATCTCCAGAATACCTGCCCTACTGTCCTCCCATCACAGCATCAAGCAGCTTTAATGCTCCAATCTGATATCCCCTGCCCCACTGATTGAAGCATGTTCATTTCCCTGTAGATCATGTTGCCTCTTAATCTCTCTCACCTCCCCTGGGAGGAGATTTCAGTATCCCCTTTTCTATCTTTCTACTGATCTGAAACTGGGAACAATGATAAATTAGTGTGTATCTTATTGCAGCCCTTGCACAAAGGTTCCTGGGGGAAGGCAGGTTTGACTCAATTCTGTTTGTCGTTTTCACCAGTGACCTAGTGGATATCAAACAAAAGTGATGTTTTTCTCATTTTCCCTAACGATGCCATCTCAACAGTGAATAATTCTCCCATCACAGTCAACCAGTGACTCATCACAGATGCCGTTTGGACAGTGAGCAGACAATGTTGATGCTGAGAAGTCAAGTTAATCACTCAGGAGAAACAGAGATCTGTCATCCATCTCCTGGCCTATAGAGGTCGTAAGACTCATTGATTACAAATATTCTTTTTAGTGCTCACATATGATCTATGCTGAGCAAAAGGCTGAAAGAATGGTAGGAGTGTGCATGAGAGGCTATGTTAGCACTCTTGATATCTTCAGAGTGTACTGTTAGAGGCCAGACCTTCTAGCCAATAGAGTATCAAACGCTTCCCGGGAAGTGTTTGATACTCTGCTGGGAAGAAGGAGAAAGGCACACATCAAGGATGAGCCACATGGACTGAAGAGCCCTCTTTATCCATACGCATTTCTGTTGTGAACTTGCACAGATAGTGACCCATTAACTAATTGAGTTACCTCTGCATACAGCTCAAAAACTGTTTCTTGCAGTATAATAATGAAGAGACACTTGCAAGTTTTAATTCACTCTTAAGTCTTGTGTAAAATGCAATGCGGTCAAACTATTTCCATTGGTGTTGCATAATAAATAAAATTAAAAACAGAAGTTGCTGGGAAAACTCAGCAGGTCACGCAGCATCTATGGAGAGAGATCCCTTGGTGTCAGTTTGGGGTAGTTGATGACACATTTGCCTCTGAAGTTAGGAGAATATGAGTCAAGTCCCATGGTGGGGCTTTGACCGCTAGGGTGACATTCCAACTGGAGAGCTGCATTGTCAGAGGTTCCGTCCTTTAGATGAAACATTTAAATTCATTTAAACATTTAAACATCGAATTCAAGATCCTCACCTACAAGGCTATTCACGGCCTTGCTCCCTCCTACCTCTCCGACCTACTATCCCCCTACCTACCTGCCCGTACCCTCTGTTCCTCTGGCTCCGGTCTGCTCCACATCCCCGCCCAAGCGCCCTACCATCGGTGGCCGGGCCTTCAGCCTCTCAGCCCCGAGGCTCTGGAACTCTATCCCCCAGTGCCTTCGCCTTGCCTCCTCCCTTTCCTCCTTCAAGGCCGGTCTCAAGACCTTTCTCTTTGACCGTGCCTTCAGCTCCCCTCTCGACTCTCTACCCCTCCTCGATCCCTCCCTTCCCTCCCGTCACCCTGACCATTTCCCCCTTGCTCGGGTCCTGACCCAACTGTACAGCGCCTTGGGACATCCTCCCGAGGTGAAAGGCGCTCAATAAATGGAATCTTGTTGTTGTTGTTGTTGTTAAACTCAGGTTCCATCTGCCTGTTCAGGTGGACATTAAATATCCCCTGACACTATTTGAAGATGTCAAAAGGCCTTGGTGGCCTAGTCACCAGTTAGAATTGGTCATTTACTTCATAGTTTGTGGGACATTGCTGTGCGCAACTTGACTTCCACATTCCCCTACAAATACACAGTTGCTGCACCTGACAGAACAACTCTGAAACTCTTTGATGTAACACAATGGTGTATCAAATGCTGCTATGTATTATTGTAAGGCTTTTCAAAGGAGGATTCGCTTTACTCCTGATAGAGCTTCTGAGTAATGTTCAAATCGATGTGTAGGCAAATCAATAGAATCAAATTAGCATCAAGAATAAAATGTTTTTTTAATCATTTCTCGGATTAAGCTATGGAGTAGGATCAGGAAATTACTGCAAACATTAGACCATTGTCAGAAATTTCCAGGACACTAAGACTGAATGAAACAGTTTCACTTGTCTCTGCTAGTCCTTTTGGACTGGGCTGAATCTGGTTCATTAGCCATTTTCTAAAGAACCTCCAATGATGTGAATATTTGCCAAGTATTGAGCTGTTAATTCCATAGCGAATGCTGCTGAACATTTCTATTGTATTCTTTACACTGAAAAAAAATTGTGAAAGAGTGACCCACAAGTTGAGAAACAATAAAATAATTAAATTGAACGTTCGTGTCAGACCCCGTTATAATATTTTATAGGACAGCAAGAACTCTTTTTTTGTCTCCCTTCCTAAGCCCACTACCTAAATCATAACGTCAACCAGCTGGGAACATAGGAACAGGAATAGACCATTCAGCCCCTCGAGCCTGTTCAAAAGTTCTGATCATCGTTGATCTGTACCTCAATTCCAATTAGACTGTCAATAAGGAAAGAAAAAACAAAATTGATTGCTCATTCTTTACCAGGAGGAAAGGCATTTGAGACCAGCTTCGATGCTCTGATGACTGAATAACTTGACTGAAAGAAATATGAGAATTTTCTTCTCCAGCCTCTGCCCAACCACTGCCTTGTTGCATCATTAGATTTGCATTTTTAAAGGAATTCTAGGTCTATTTGTCATAATAATGACTTGTTTAAGAAGCTGAATTTATGGGCAATTCATACATAGTAACTATTGATTGCCTTGTTTTTTTTTGTGGCTTGAATATAATTTCAGCCTGTTTATTGCTATGGTTCCAACAGGCTATATATTTTGACATTTCAACCTTTCTGCTTGTCTCAGCATCAAAACTGTTCTTTTTGAAGTCTCTCTGATGATTCTGTTCATCCGCTATTCGATTCTACTGTTGTCCAAACAATTATCGAGCACTTTCCTTAAACCTTCAATTCAATCTGACTCAATTGAATAAAATCATACACTGAATCAACCAGCAAAACATCTGGTTAATGCATACTTAGGCATTTTCTTTTTACCCCCATATGAGGGCAGAGCCCAAGCTTGCTCATCATTTTCTCTATTATTAAATTATTGCTATTAAATGCTATTAAAAAAACGTTTCACAAAAAACTTTGGTGACATGTTAATGGCTCTGAAAGAGGTCTTTGCTTGATCAAAAATGAGGCTCAGTTTATAATAAAGTTCAGCTGTAGCTGTGAAGCGCTATTAGTTATGCCACAGTGCTGCATTGCTGTACATTTACAGACATGGAACTGCGCAAGGTTGGGTGTATATTCTTTTGTGTGTGCAGCTCACAAAGAACATATCAACGACGCTGTACAACACTGTCTGACATTTCATAACAAGATGAATCTATTAATAAAATCTTTAAAATAATAGACAATGTTTTGATAGATAGATATTGCTTATTGGAATTTTCATTGCCAAGAAATGAAATGCAAGTCTTCCTGAAATGGAATGTTATATCACTTGAATCCTTTGCAGTTTGCAATTGGCCTCTATTGTTTGTTAGCAATCCTATTATTTTGGAAGCAATTCCATATGTTTTTTATTAAATGTCTGAATCGCTTTAATCCACAGAGTCGCTCCGTGGTTATTGTTCTTTGAGCAACTGCCAGCTGTTAGCTTTGAGATTGTGCTTCAAGTGCAAGGGACTGAATAGATTAATCGATAACATTCTGCTTAAAACTAAACTCCCCAAGAAACTGCTTATTTTCTCAGGTAATGTAAAGTAGGGTATGTGTGTGTGGAACTCACAATCAAACCGATTCAATAAAGCTTCTGTAAACCATTGAGTTCTGTATATATGAAGACCACAGGACTGGACTCATTGCAGCATAACTTTGCAACCCTATCGGCCAGCAGTGATCAATCACCAGCACCAAAGAGAGACAACCTTGGCTTAGACGTGCTCCTGTACCTGGCAGTGAGAGGCATGTGAAAGAGAAACTTTGGAACCTCTCCCGCCAGCAGTAATCAATCACTACAGCAAACAAGAAAACACTCTGAACCTCGCGCTCTGGACTTTTTTTGGGAGGTTAGCAGGGTGTCTGAAATCCATGAGAGCCACCATCTTCCTGACAGTAGCTCGTACACACACATCCCTTCCCATTGAGTGATCATTCGAGCAGTTGGAGGTGCAGAGCTGCTACTTACCTCACTGCAGGCCAATCCAGATGAATTTCGGGCACTGGATGTACGAACACATGTTCACATATTCGGACTCCAGGTAACACCTTCCAGCAGCTGTTGACCCAAGCCAGAGTTTCCTCATCAGTTATCCAGCTGACATATACCTTCAGCGTGTTGGGAAAAATGCCCTTTGTCAGGGAGCTGTAAGTAAGAGAGAAAGAAACTAGATCATTGTCAGTGTCCTGGCCAATAATCCCACAAACAAAAACTGTCCATTCACTTCACAGCTGTTTTTGGTGGGACATTACCGTGTGCAAATTGGCTGTCGTGTTTGCCTGCAAATACAGTCACTACACTTTATGCTAAATTTTGTGAAGCGCTGTTAACTACCTTGCAGATGTACAAATTTCTCAATTAATTGAAGTGGGTCTCCATCATGAACCTAAAGAGTCTCAAAGCACAAGTCTTGCCCTGTGGAGTCCTGTAGCTCAGTGGTTAGAGCACTCGCTTTGCAAGTGAGAGACCTGAGTTCAATTCCAGGCAGGGCGAAACCTTGGGCAAGTTTCCTTACTCCACACGCCTAATAATAATCCCTCCAAAACCAAAAAAAAACAATAATAAATGAATCATTTTCAATCTACGACTGTTGGTGGGACATTGCTGTGCGCAATTGGCTGCCGCGTTCGCCCACAAATATACAGTCAATTCACTTTACAGTATGTTCTGTGAAGCGCTTTGGGACGTCCTCCTGAAGTGAAAAGCGCTATATCAAATGCAAGGATTATTATTATTATTATTATTAGTTGGACAACTTGGATATTCTGATATGTTCATCTGTTCTGTACTCTGTAGCTTGAGCTGAGCTCATGCTTTGTAATTACTGGGAATCATAAGTACTTACTACCAGATAAGAGCCAGCTTTTTCTTTCTTTTTGTAACCAATTCATTATTGAAATAATCCGGTAATTGGTTTCCTCCGTGGAGCAATATATTCATCCATTTCAGCAGAGCAAATATATTGGAGGGCTGGGCAAACAAATCCCCGCAGCATCTTCTCTCAGCATTGGTTTGCTTTTGAGGACTCGACAATCTTTATTTTCTCTCTCTTCTCCCATCCAATTCAATCCTAAATATATTCTGTTTTGCATATAACTGGTTCTTTTTGTGTAGCAAATAGGTAGTATTGGTTGAGGGAGATGGAGAGAGAGAGTCTGCTTGTTATCTAAGCAAACCGACGTTACGGGGTGTATGGACAGCAAGATAATTTGTTTGCTGTGCATTAATGGCAGGATGCAAACCAGCCTCGACCCAGGATACAATCTGAGCCAAAGGTTTCAGGCATTTCTTGTCAGCTTCTGATTTCTTCATCAGAATCACAGCTGCGGCCCGTCATTTATTCCTGCAGAACAGCAAACAGAGTGTGTTGTCAGTAAAGTTACTGCCTTCTTTTCAACGACTTTATAAGCAAATTACAAAAGTGATTCTTTCTGCTGACCTGAAGCATTAGCAGCAGTGACAGTGCCAGATACGCCCTTTGCAAAAGCCGGCTTTAGTTTAGACATGGCTTCGAAGGTGCTTCCGTGACGGGGAAACTCATCAGTTGACACCTCGATAGGCCCTGAAGAGAGAGAGGATGATGTTAGATTATTAAGGCTCCTAATTAAAATGTAGCACTTCGAGGCTACACAATAGTACCAAATAAAATTTTAATTTCATTATAAGTGTTATACATTTAAAAACAAGTGTGGCACATATGTTAGTCGAAGTGAATAATGTTGGCCTCTGTCTGGTTGAGTGCCAAAGAGTTTGGAAGACCTCTTGCAAGCCCATAGGGTTTAGGGCAGACTGGATGACCTAAGATCACAAAAGAGGTTTTTGTATATCCATGCTATCATCTCTCATTACCGCATAGTTTTTTTTAAAAAAGTGTCCAGCAACCTAGCTTCTGCCATCCCTCCTGGTAATCTACTGCAGTTGCAGCAACGTGTAAAGAAACACTTCTTGTTGTGTGTCCTAAATAATGTCCTTTACAACTCTGAAACTGTACCTTGTTTTCTGCTGGCCTGGTGTATCTGAATATATTATTGTAGGTTTACTTTCTCAATCTCATTCAGCATCTTATATACCTCTATAGAGGTCCCCTCTATGACATTTGTTTTTGAGGCTTGAAAAAGCTTAGAATATGTAACTTTCTGAAACCTTCTCCTACACGCACTCACACGCGCTCGTGCAGATGAACCAGTCAGTCTCAAAATCTCTCCTCCTAGGAGTACAGCACATACCTCTCCTGGAAGGGACGGAGACAGGAACAATTTCTTTTTCAAAATAGCCAGCTTTCTGTGCTGCCTCAGTTCGGTTCTGGGACTGTACAGCAAACTTGTCCTGCTCCTCTCGACTCACATGCCACTGCATCGCCACGTTCTCAGCTGCATCGAGAGGACGAGAAAAGTAATTCGGGAAACGTTCTGTAGCTTCAAACCTTTATATAAATATGTGCATGGCCAAGAGACCGTAGCTCTACATAATGATGGCTATCAAGTAACATGCTACTTTACATCTACGTCCGTTCTATGAGCTTGCACAGCTTTGGTTCACACATTCACACCCTCCAAGGTGGTTTTAGGATAACACACACCTTCCTGGCTTCTGTTAGGCCAGTCATCACAGTGTAAAAGTACTGCCCTCGGGTGACTTTGCTTATCTGTCACCACAGAGGATAATTTTAAAGATATATTGTTGCTCTAAAAAGGTTAAAAGCTTGAGCTTCCAAGGAATTCAACCACAGAATCTTTTGGTCTTAAGTTGGCTGAGCCATGTAGGATGCCTGGGTCTCCACCAAGAATAGTATGTTTGTTTCTATTCGCGAGGATGTTTAAAGTGCTTCACAACTATGAAGTGTGTAGTGACTGTGTATTTTGTAGGAGCATCTTTAGTCAACAGTCATGTTCCCTTTACAGTTCAGAACAGAATTAACCTCCTCCATATTTTGAACTTCAGAAAGGATTCAGGTTTGTTCCAGTAAATTTGTTCACATTTTTCCAATCATCGATGAGCACCTCCACAGCTGAGGTAGTTAATACACGACTGTGTCTTGGAGGATGGAGACAGGCACTTTGGATTGCAATCTGAGCTCAAACACATTGTGCCCATTATTTCAGTATCTAATTTTAAGAAATAGTTACAATACATGATTAAATAGAAACAAAAAGAACATTTTCTATTCAAATAACGCCCCCCATTTTTAATCAGAACAATACTATCTTATAAATTTATCAAAACCTGCATACAGATTGCTCCATTCCCAAGCTGCTCTCTTTGAGCACTTGGTTGACAAAGGCACTGCCTGGCGTTGAACTGAGACTTGGAAGACCCAGATTTGTGCCAGGTTACCTGGTCTCAGCTTGGCAGCAGATGGGATGTTACAATTAGTTTGTATAAGTAGGAGGAAAAATACAGCCAGTGTTCCCACTTCTTATCACATTCAATGGTCCTGGCTGGAAGGTGCTTGTGTGGACAGGAAGAGACTTGTCTGTGACATTCCATCTCCTCTCATGGTCAAACAGCCCAGTGACCCTTTACCACTCGGATTCACACATGAAGTACGGCCACTTTAATGAGATACTGGAGGGCAGCTGGTAGCCTTAGAACTAAACACCACAGATCCTCAGAGAGGTTAGAAAACAGAGGGAAATGCAATTAATTTCCATACTTAAATGCAAACCTTGTATTTATTCAGTGACAGTTCTTACCTGTTACACCCATGTGTAGTTATAAAAGGCGTCCATTAGGCCATCACACAGAATGGTATCCTGAAGGGACATGTCTCCTACTTTGACCCCAACTCGCATTGGAACCACATGTGGAGCCTGTGATTAAAAGAAGCAGGCTTTAGCTAAGTGTACTTGCTGTATACTGGGACTCCACATGCAACAAGATCTGGCTGGAGAAAAGGAAGAACTTGCATTTGTATAATGCCTTATCATACTGAAATGCCTACAAACACTTCACAATAATTACTATCTCAGATAATAATCATGAGAATATCCTGAAGCACTTCACAGGGAATTACTGTGAAATGGAGTGACTGTGCATTTGTCGGCGAATGCTGCAGCCCAATTGCACACAGCATTGTTCCACAAACCAACATGAAAAAAAGCATGACCAATTTTTAAATATTTAGGGGTACAAACAAGTGTATTAATGGCAGCACAATGCAACTGCTTGTTGTGACAGTCACTAAATTGTATCCACCGGTGAACGTTTCTGCCGAGCCATTTAGCTGAGTTCATGTTTGCTTCTTTCACACTTGATCCCTCTGTGCTCAGACAACAGGAGGGAAAAGTTCAACATTCGTTATCTGTACCGTTCTTTGGTTGAACAACAAAATCAGGCAGAACTGAACTACCTCTACATGATATATTCATGATTGAGAAGGGAGCAGAGGGTATGGAAGTGGAGATTAGCAAAGGGGAGAGGCTTGTTTGAAGCATGGGCTGAATGGCCTGTTTCCGAGCTATGTAATTAGAAATTTACATTACAGAAAGAAGTCATTAGGGCCCATCATGTCTGCTGTCTCTATGAAAGAGAATATCCTGAAATTTTGCTCATGTAAACCTTGCTCATGCATTCCACGCCGCCTGCTACTACAATCCTGGCGTTTTCCGTGAGGATGGACTGTGCTCCTAAACACACGGCCTTCAGTCCGGAACCACAGATCATCTGGCAGCTCCATGCTGGCACCGAATAGGGAATGCTTGCTGCCACGCTGGCCTGACGGGCAGGATTCTGTCCTTGGCCTACAAAACAGTGAAAGAAAAGGAATAGACTCCTTTAATACTACAGTGCAGAGTTGGTGGTGATACTTTCTGAAAAGAGGCACGGGAATACTCAGTGAGAATCATTTACTCATATTATTAGTGTTAAGTTAACCATCCTTAACTTTAGTACAGGTTTAGCACAAGAAGTTATATTTTTTTATATAATAACGTCTTTTTCAGACGTTAATATAAAATAGCATTTTATTCTCCAGACAGGAAGATAACAAGGACAATAATTCTTTTAATACCACAGTTGGCTTGCATTCATCCTTTCATCATTTCTCTCCTTCGCTAACCCCTCTTGCGCTGCATAAACAGAGTGCTTCAGAGCTTACATTTCAGCTGCAGCTTGCAAGGTGAATGTTTATAAAGTGTAAACACAATGACTTAATTTTCGGTGGACCTAGTTGCATGACTTCCGAACTCTCCAATCTGGGCGAGGAACGGTAGACTGTAGGCTTTGTATGTTGAGGATAATATTCAGTCTGTGAAAACTCAGTCAGTGCTCTAAACACTATCAAATGATCCTCCTTGGAGAGAACAGAGCTTGGCCTTGAATCCTCTTCAGATTCACCATTGGCTGTCTGTGGATCTCACCTACAAATCCCTTCGCACCCTCACTCTCTCTACCTCTGTGACCTACTTATCCCCTACGTTCAACAAACTCAAGCCTGATGCATGGACAGTCCCTGGACAGTCATTAACAAGTCATCTCTTCCTGTGACCAGGGATCCTTGTACTTGCCGGTCCTCCGCGATTTTGCGGTTATATCCAACACTTTTGATCATTCTATTCTTCTCTACCATCTCTCCTCTGGTACATCTCTGTAGCTCTGCACTATCCAGGTTCCATTCCAACTTATCGCAGGATCATCACTATGTCTCCTTTTCCTCTGACCCACATGATCACGTGTGGCTTGGGGCTCTTTTCTGGCTCCTCTCCTCCTCATCTACATACTCCCCCAGGTTGACATAATTTCCAGGGACTTCAATACATTTGCCACTGACAACCAACTCTACCTATCCCCTTTCCGTTTTCACCTTTGACCCCTGGACAACTGCTTGTCAGATTATCAAGTCCTGAATAAGCCCAAACTTTCCCCCATAGAATGCGTGGCTGAAAGAGTGGTGCGGGAGGCAGGAGTTTCATTTTGTGGACCACTGGCACCAGTATTGGTGAAAGAGGGAGCTCTTCCATCAGTATGTCATTGAACATATTCAAGACTGAGATTGATTTTTAAAAACTAAAGAGATTAAGGGATATGGGGATAGGGCGGGTAACTGGAATTAGGTTAGAAGATCAGCCATGGTCTTATTAAATGGCGGGGCAGGCTTGAGGGGCCGAATGGCCTACTCCTGCTCCTATTTCTTATGTTTTTAATGTTGACAAGACAAAGGCTTTCCTGCTTGGCTCCCGTCAGCATCTCCGCACTTCAGGCATTGGCTCACGTCAGCTCACGGAGACAGTACAGAATATCAAATCAACGATTTATTCAAACCTCATCTTCAACCTTTCATCTGGGGTCTTATCAAGTTGACGTTCTTCCATCTTCACAACACTGACTGCCAACTTCAGCCACAGCCCCCCTTTCCCCACCCCCAGCCACCCTTAACAGCACCTTTTGCCCTATTATTATTATTATTATTATTTATTATTATTATTTCCCCAATCCCTCAACCTATCTCCCTCCCAGCTCAGGCACCCATTCAGACTTTGTAAAGCACTTTGAGACAGGTTGAAAGTCGTATACAAATGCTGTACCGTTCACTATTACTCAAATACAACATTGTACCTGCAGTCAAAACCTGTCCCAAAATAACTTCTGTGTTAATGGTAATAGTGATGGTGAAGGCCCCGCACAAACAGCTTCAATTATCCTTCAGCTGTTTGCAGGAAATCCGCCTCCAGAGCAGCGCCTCCACACACACACACACACCCCAGTGTCCACCGGTCCCCCCAGTGTCCGGGTCCCCCCCAGTGCCCGGGGGTCCCCCCCAGTGCCTCCGGGGTCCCCCCCAGTGTCCGGGGGTGCCCCCCCCAGTGTCCCGGGGTCCCCCCCAGTGTCCGGGTGTCCCCCCCAGTGTCCCCCAGTGTCCGGGGTCCCCCCCCAGTGCCGGGGTCCCCCCCCAGTGTCCGGGGGTCCCCCCCAGTGTCCGGGTGCCCCCCCCAGTGTCCGGGGGTCCCCCCCCCCCCCCCCCCGTCCCCCCCCCAGTGTCCGGGTCCCCCCCAGTGTCCGGGGGTCCCCCCCCAGTGTCCGGGGGTCCCCCCCCCAGTGTCCGGGGTCCCCCCCCCCCCCCCCCCCCCCCCCCCCAGTGCCCGGGTGTCCCCCCCCAGTGTCCGGGGGTCCCCCCCAGTGTCCGGGGGTCCCCCCCCAGTGTCCGGGGTTACCCCCCAGTGTCCGGGGGTCCCCTCCCGCTGTACGGCTGTGGCGCTGCTCTGTGTGTTACCTATTGGGTTTCTCGCTGCGGAGAGGATCACAACATCGTCTCTCCCACTCACAGCGCTGCACCGAGTGCAGGAGGCGGGAGGGGGGGGGGGGGGCACCAGGATATCCGCCCCCCCGCCCCGCCCTCCCTGCCAGTCACGCCAACCCTGGGCCGGTCCCTGCAAGGGCCGGTCCCTGCAAGGGCCGGTCCCTGCAAGGGCCGGTCCCTGCAGGGGCCGGTCCCTGCAAGGGCCGGTCCCTGCAAGGGCCGGTCCCTGCAAGGGCCGGTTCCTGCAAGGGCCGGTCCCTGCAAGGGCCGGTCCCTGCAAGGGCCGGTCCCTGCAAGGGCCGGTCCCTGCAAGGGCCGGTCCCTGCAAGGGCCGGTCCCTGCAAGGGCCGGTCCCTGCAAGGGCCACCAGGTAACAACCAGGTTCCTACTGACTGCTCGGTAAACAGAGGAGTGTGGAGTAAGGAAACGTGCCCAATGTTTCGCCCTGCTGGGAATCAAACCCAGGTCTCTCGCTTACGAGGCGAGTGCTCTAATCACTGATTTAATTCCTGAGTCTATAATTGAGGAAACAACCAATACTCTGAAATATTGTCTTCTGTCTTGCCTAATGATTTGTAATAATTAATAATGGAAACTTTGTAAGAACCCTCCCGTTTGGCTAGCTTGGCTTTTATCTGACTTGCTAGTTATTGTTGGTGGGAAGAACAATGCTGTCATTCATTAGCACTGTGCTGAGAGTCTATTTCTGCACAAGTTAAATGACTGTACACAGGTAAATAACATGAAATTCTTATTTGTCAGTTTTATTTTCCAGTTCAGTATTGGGGCAAATGACTAATTATCATGGGTTGGCTGCCTAAACATAATGTATGACTTAACAATGTAACTTCAAATATTTTGATTGGATTATTGCTCAAATAATCCTAGATCTTTAGTACATTTTTCAGTACTTTTTTTCTGCTGCTGCAACCTTAGCATTAAATCAAGGACTTATTCTTTTGTAATGATACCCCTCAAGTCTGTAATTTGTCTGTATAGAAGCCTGGATGATGACTGTTGACATTGAAGGCAGATGTCCCATCAAATAGCTGATGAGGAAACTCTGATACTTGGGACAACAGCTGCTGGAAGGCGTAACCTGAATCCTGGGTTTATGAACCCAGCTTGTATATCCAGTGCTTTGTGTCCATCTTAATTGGTGTGCAGAGGTACACAGCTGATATTCCAACTTTGTACCTCCAACTGATGGAACCACACTCAATGGTTAGATGTCCAAACCATGTACAGGAGGACGGTGACAATGCTCTCATGAACTGTACTATTCCAGGAAGTTTGCAGGGTATTTCTGATAGCCTCTATCCACCTCGGGAACGCTCAAACCTGCCTTTGTCGCATCTCAATTGACTAACTAGTTAGTGATTGTCTTTGTGGGAGATCCAAGAGGGATCTCCTTGGAGTTGACCTTGCTCCAGGGTGACATGCTTAGCAACAGAGTATCCGGATCAAGTCAACCCTCTGTAATATTCTTGGTAGTCTGGTATCGGCAAGCCTTGAAGGGCAGACTGGTTGGTCACTGGGGGAGCAAGGATTCTTCTCACTCAGCTCCTGTTAATTGCCAGCCAAAGGCCTAAGTATGGTGATGGGTTTCCATATGTTTCCGACTCCTAGCCAAAAAATAGTCCAGTTAATATTGATGATTTTGTTTTGCTGTTGGAAATCTTCAACAGATATGGACATGAAGTGTTTCCTTTGCTTCAAAATGGTAGTGTACAAACTGCAGGTTCTCATAGTCAGATTATGTGAAGTATTCAAAATGAAAGACTAACAAAAAAGAATCCATACGATTAGCTTTTTATGTGTAATTTTCCAGTGGAGACCAACATTATCAAATTAAGCTTTGATATCTATTTATTTTCGACTGTTAACACGGATGAACTGGGCAGAGAATGTCTGATCAATGCTGCTAAAACTTCTTTGTCTTCAAAGATAATAGGAGTGTATCTTTTGAACATAAATAGTTAATTCCACATTTACTCTGATTTTGACCACATAATCTATTGAACATAATTCCATGAGGTGCACACCTCGCCTTTATAAGCAACATACAATGAATTATTGTATGCTAATTATTCAACTGTTGGGCCCCCGACAGTGAATGGTGCTTTTCAGTAGAGTTGTGGAATAGTTTTAAAAGGGCAGAAACTATGGTTGCTTTTATTTGTTCTGTGGCCTGTGAATGCTAAGATGATTACAGTTCCTTTAATGTTGCCCTATCTGAGATTAGTTTGCTCAATGTAACCCAGGGCTCAAACCTTGGGATTTCCAGATGCTTCATTTTCAGCAATATTTCAACAGAGGTGCTTCCAGTCTCATTATATAATCGCTTCTACTACTAAAGTATAGTAGAAATAAAATATAGTAAAGTATAAAAACTTTAATGCTCTTCCTTGCCACTCTTTAATAATCATTGCTCCATTTATTTTTGAAAATATTGTTAAACTTTGTTTTCTTATATTAATCTTGTAGAGTTCAAGGTAATTTCAGAATGAATGCTTGCTTGAAGTAGTTTGAGACATTTTATACAACTTCTCAAGTGTCAGTTGGTTGAAAATTCTGGGTTAAAATCCCAATGGGCCCCCTCAACCCTTTACTCATTGAAACTGATAAAATGAGGACCGTATCTTAAAAATAACTGGTGTTGGGAAGGTTAAATGGAAACTCCTGAGGATTGAACTGCTTCTGATGAGGCAAGCCAAGTGAAGGAAGGGAGATGTACAGTGATCCATGTTGATATCATCTTGCCTTATTCATCAATGGGACTTAGAGTTGTCAGTAAGTCCTTAACCTGGCAAGCAATTTTCTTTTGTGTTGTATAACTATAAAGTGACCACCAGATAATTCGTTTATTTACACTGCTCTATGTGTTGATTTAAATAGTCCTGAAGTTTTAATTTAAACCAAATGAAATGAAGTTAATTGAAATGTTCTTTTTAGGAATGGTCAAAAGAGTGATTAATGCTAAAATTGCATGTCTGGACTTCAGCCTGCAAAAGACGAAAATGAAGCTGGGTGTTCAGATTGTTATCAATGACCCAGAAAAATTGGACCAGATCAGACAGAGGTATGATGGAAGTTAATGGGATGTAACTCTAAATTAGACTTCTCTTTAGTAATTTATTCTCAGATTAGCATAAGGATTTTTAAAGTTATATTTAGTGATTCATGTTGTAATTGTAGTGATATATTGGAAATCCTACCTTGATATTTAGAGTGGTTAGCAAGAATGTGCAAATACTCTTCCTTAAACACTGATTGAACAGGTGACAGTTCCACAAGTGTAAGTAGACAGGAGACTTCAGCAATTAGAAACCATTATTTATTTTATCTCTTTCCAAAAGCACAACTGAGCTATATGTAATGTAGTTTCCATTAATTCCACTTCCCATTGTTTTCCACTCATTGTAATAGAACATTTTTTAAATATCCAAACCACATAGTTTTCCTCCAATTTATTTGCTGCTGTGCTGATGTCAGTCTTGTGAGCAATTTTACCCTTGGAACACACAATACTCATCTCATGTAACTGAAGAACACTGTAGTGTTGCTACAGTAATATGTGAGCTTGACACTAAATGATCCTTTAGTATTTCAAATTGATTTAAAATAGTTTTAATTAGTGTGGCACATTACACTCCATTTAGAATTATTTGTTGTCGACTGTATATCCCGTCAATGATATAATGATGTTGAGTCAGTAATCCTTAACTATGAATGTGACTGCCAGTGATCTGTGCCAAGCTGATATTTGGTGTCCGCGCTGAGAGCCGCAGCTTGCTCTTAACTAAATATTTCCTCTCTACCACATGAAAATTTGATCTATCCTGTTGTCTGATAATTGTGAATATGCACACTTTGAGGTGTCTTTTTTGTATTTATAATCTTATGTTTGTAAAATAGCTTTGTAGGTAGTGATGAACTTGTTTTGCTTTCAGAGAGTCTGATATCACCAAAGAGAGAATTCAGAAGATTCTGGCCACAGGTGCCAATGTCATTCTGACTACTGGTGGCATTGATGATATGTGTCTAAAATATTTTGTGGATGCTGGTGCCATGGCAGTACGCCGTTGTCTGAAGAAAGACCTCAGACGAATTGCTAAGGCCAGTGGAGGTAAGTGCAGCATTTTTTTTTACTGGTTACTGTTGTGAATTATATATACTTTGAAACTAGTGATCCCCTGCCTTATTGGACTCCAGTTATCCGGAATTCCGACCTGGTTGGACGAGGCCCAAAACCAAAAACATTAATTTTATTCTGTGGGCCCAACTCCTAGCGCGGATCAATGGTGCACTGAGTAGCCTCTGTCTGTGCTGACATTCATAGTGGCTAGTGATACTGACTGACTCAGATTGTTTGAATCCAGCGAGCAGAAAATGGCTTATTCGTTATCTTCTTAGTCGAAAATTGATCTGATAACTCGTTCTGTAATATGGCATCTTGCATTACAAAGGCCTCCAGCCCGATGCTGTGATTGGTAGCGGAGGTTGGGTGCCTATGCTCAGATGCGTTGCAGGGGCTAAGCCGTGGCCTCCTACGCTGTCTTACATCTTATCGTGTGACAGGATAGGGCCAAAAGCCACGGAGCAGCTGGGAGGACCTATATCAAACTCGCTACTCCAGATAACTTATTGCTCAGCTCTTTACCCTTGGAGTGACAAGCTATCGAGTTTAATGTCCAATATTAATATCATTCAATTTTGAAAGGGTGGCATTCGGAATCAGCTGGAATTTTCCTAGTGATTCTGACGTCCTCCCGACATGAAAAGCGCTATACAAATGTAATTTTGTTGAAGTGTTAAAAGTACGTAAATCAGAAAAGGGTGTCTTGGACTGAGAAACCTATTCTGATGATTTTTACCTGTTTTTGTTTATAGCAACTATCTGTTCAACACTTGCAAACTTGGAAGGAGATGAGAGTTTTGATCCCTCTTTAGTGGGCCAAGCTGAGGAGGTGGTTCAAGAAAGGATATGCGATGATGAACTGATACTTGTTAAAAAGTAAGAAAAACATGTACAACTTACTGAACTCCCATTTATTTGCTGCCCTGCTAATATCTGTGGCATGAGCAGTTGTACGCTTGGGATAGAGAATATTCAGCCTTGTGTGACTGAAGACCTTGCTGATGTCTTCTCAGTAATGCATTAGCTGAACATAAAAANTTATCTCCAATGTATACAGTGTAGTATCTTGCAATGCTACTGTTAATGTTGCAGAATTGAAAAAGATGTTGGGATTGTAATTGTGTTGAATCTTTTTTTATATTGACTGCACAGATGCAGATTAAATTTGTTGTGCATATAAATATAATCCAAGCAGTTTCCTGATGAAAGTAGAACTGTCACATCTATTCCTGGTTTAAGTCGGCAATGAATATTGTTTTGCATAACAGTATATAATCAATAGGTATTGTTCATTCAGGAGCAGTGCACACAAAGTTTGTGATTGAAAAAGGGATCTAGATTCTGATTTCTAAAAGTGAGGTATAAATTGATGCTGACATTTTAAAATGAGTTTAACCCAACCCTCACAAGTACTATTGTTGTAAAGTTTAATTTGTACTTTTCAGTACAAAGGCCCGTACTTCTGCATCAATCATTCTGCGAGGAGCAAATGATTTCATGTGTGATGAGATGGAGCGCTCCCTACATGATGCACTCTGTGTTGTGAAGAGAGTGCTTGAGTCCAAGTCTTTAGTTCCAGGAGGTGGGGCTGTGGAAGCTGCACTCTCCATCTACCTGGAAAACTATGCAACTAGTTTGGTATGGGTTTAATTGTATTTCAAGATTATTGGGGGAGGGCACTTTTACCGTATGCTTTGAGCTGATTAACCAGGGATTACTGTCCCTATTAATTTGCAGTATTAAAAATTATTTTAAGAAAATAAGTTAAAAGTACTTCATGTATTTAACTGTTGGTTGTCTTTTTGTTTAGGGATCACGTGAACAACTTGCCATTGCAGAATTTGCCCGGGCCATGTTGATTATTCCTAGGACTCTGGCAGTGAATGCTGCTCAGGATTCTACAGACCTTGTTGCAAAGTTGCGTGCATTCCACAACGAAGCTCAGGTCAATCCTGATCGCAAAACTTTGAAATGGTAAAAATTTTATTGTACTGTGGTCTGCAAAAGATTGTGACTTGAGACCCATTGTTGTCTGAATCAGCGATGAAACTAAATTTGAACATTGTTGCAATTCATGAGCAATCATTGATTTTTGGTGACCTGGTGCCCCAGATAGCAGTAAAGTGCAAAATTGATTTTCTCCATCTTGTTAAAGTAACTTTTACGGCTGAGTTGTCAGAATTCAATCGGAAATTATGAAGGTTTTACTAATATTGTAGTGACTGGCTATTAAAACAGTGTTAATCAAATTCACATTTTGTTTGTGCAGGATTGGTCTTGATTTATTGAATGGGAAGCCAAGGGACAACAAACAAGCTGGTGTCTTTGAGCCTACTATGGTTAAAGTCAAGAGTCTGAAGTTTGCAACAGAAGCTGCTATAACCATCCTGCGAATTGATGATCTCATCAAACTTTACCCAGATGAAAAGCAAGACAAAGGAAAGAGTTACCAAGATGCAGTTCAAAGTGGAGAGCTTAATGGCTGAAGCACCTGAGTTCTAAAATCAGCTATTATAATTTATGTTTAACTCTTGGCATCCATCAGGTGCTTCTTGTACTTCTGTTCTAGATTGAGCAGCTTGTCATACTTGTCTGAAATTCAGTGCCACTTGTTGTAGTGCTCTGTTTAATTTACTATGCTTGTTTAGTGCTATTTGGCACAAACCGGATTTAAAAGACCTCTTACTTTGTTACCTATAGTCAACTCTTTCAAGTTATTTGTGCAAAATTATTTCCTGTACATTGACAGTTGTGCTTCAAGCTCCTTCGGAAATAAAATGTGACAGTTGTCAAGTGATCAGCCCATCTATGTAGGGAGCTGTTAAGAGACCACCTTAATTTCATGAATAAACGTTGATGTTGTGCTTCTGGTCTTTTCAAATCTAATTAATTGTGTATGTTATTTCATTGTGGACATGATTTCTCCCTCACACAAATTCACTGGGGAAAACATTAATTAAAAATACTACTGGGGAAGGATGTAATAAAGCACTATATCAAATACAAGGATGATTATTATCTCCCCAAATAAGTAACCTCTCTGATTCTTGGTTGCTGATCTTACCATGGGGAATGATAAAATGCTCAAAAGTATTAGGGCAGCATTTGTAAATCAATTAAAGCAAAATTAAAATACAATGAATGTTCCCCTGCTTTCTCACATGTATTCAACCATCTTGCCCTTCTATAAATACTGGCACTTGATGTAATTTGAGAGTCAGTTTACAAGATTCAGCAATGGTACATTGAGCAATTTATTTCATAAAGAAAAAAATGGTCAATCTGAGTTGAGAGATAATAGGAAGGAGTTTATGAAATTTATGATTTCAAACTTCAGTACTTTTAATCAAATATTTAAAAGTTTCACTAATTTTTAGAACCATTTTATGTGGACTGAAGTTTTGAATAGTTTTAAAACCTACCTACTTTACACATTCATTATAAAAACAAAATGCACCTACATTTCATTGGAATCAGGCTGTAACCTAAAATAAAAGCTCAATTTTATCCAGTCAGTAGCTTAGCTGCAGAGTATCTTCAGTTCTTGTAGTAAAATTTAGGTGTAATTTATTGCCTTTCAACACACATAGCTATTCCCATTCCACCTCCTATACACAAAGAAGCAATGCCACGCTTTTTTCCTGTTCTCTCCAGTGCGTAGAGAAGTGTAACCAGAATGCGGCACCCAGACATTCCCAGAGGGTGACCTAAAGCAATAGCTCCACCTTGGATGTTTATCTAGAAAGACAAACACAAAAAATGCATTTTTTTTAAAAAAGAGGGAAAACCTTTCCCTAATTTTCTCCTTACTCCACTGGCCTGCTTCAAGTCCCCGGCCTATCCTACCATCAGCAGTCAGGCTTTCAGCCTATCTGCTCTCACTTTGTGGAACTCCAACGAGAGCCCTATCACCTCAACTCTCCCTTACCTCCTTCAAGGTCCTCAAAACCTTCCTCTGACCGGTCATCTTCCTGGCCCCCATCCCTCCCGAATCCAACTTGGGACATCCTCCCGACATGAAAGGCGCTTTATAAATGCAATTTCTTGTTTTATTACATCCCACATTGACCCATTGGGTGAATCAGGAAGTAAAAAGGATCAATTGCATTTAGTTGTAGTGCCAATTTTTATATCTACATTTCTCACCTTCTCTGGGTTTATACCCAGTTCCTTGACAACAGCTACAGACTGTGATGCAAAAGCTTGATTGATGTCGAAGAGATCAACTTCATCCAGCGTCCAGCCGGCTTTTTCTACCTAGAATAAATAGTAAATCTAAGTCATTACCCTTGAATCTGAAGATGATGGAATGCACAGTGGGTGAATCATTGGTTGAAAAGGAAACAATCTACTTGACCCTACTTCAGGGCGGACACAATTTGACCGCTCCTCAGGCAATGATATCAGCCATGTGAGGAGTGACCGAGCAGACCTTTTCCAAATGGGAAAGGGAGATACCTGGAGTTGAGCCATGACCCCAGTCTCGTCTCCTGCAGGTGCTTAAAAAACAATAGCAGAGTCCTGGGGGCAGAATAGCTGCCAATTCTCTCACTTGCAGGATAGCCCATTCCCAAAACAGGAAACACCATATAAAAGTAGAGTTGTGCTAATAAATGAACATGTCTGAGTCTGGTTAAGGCTCTATGCTGTGAAGAGGTATAAGTATTAACAATATTCTTGTATTACTTACGGCCTTCCTTATTGCTGCTATAGGCCCGACTCCCATAATGGCAGGATCCAAACCAGCCTCGGCCCAAGATACAATCTGAGCCAAAGGTTTCAGGCATTTCTTGTCAGCTTCTGATTTCTTCATCAGAATCACAGCTGCGGCCCGTCATTTATTCTTGCAGAACAGCAAACAGAGTGTGTTGTCAGTAAAGTTACTGCCTTCTTTTCAACGACTTTATAAGCAAATTACAAAAGTGATTCTTTCTGCTGACCTGAAGCATTAGCAGCAGTGACAGTGCCAGATACGCCCTTTGCAAAAGCCGGCCTTAGTTTAGACATGGCTTCGAAGGTGCTTCCGTGACGGGGAAACTCATCAGTTGACACCTCGATAGGCCCTGAAGAGAGAGAGGATGATGTTAGATTATTAAGGCTCCTAATTAAAATGTAGCACTTCGAGGCTACACAATAGTACAAAAAAAATTTTAATTTCATTAAAAGTGTTATACATTTAAAAACAAGTGTGGCACATATGTTAGTCGAAGTGAATAATGTTGGCCTCTGTCTGGTTGAGTGCCAAATAGTTTGGAAGACCTCTTGCAAGCCCATAGGGTTTAGGGCAGACTGGATGACATAAGATCACAAAAGAGGTTTGGATAAATAAAACCTTTCGGCCTATTCAATCTGAGCCTTCCAGAATATCCATGCTATCATCTCTCATTACCGCATAGTTTTTTTTAAAAAAGTGTCCAGCAACCTAGCTTCTGCCATCCCTCCTGGTAATCTACTGCAGTTGCAGCAACGTGTAAAGAAACACTTCTTGTTGTGTGTCCTAAATAATGTCCTTTACAACTCTGAAACTGTACCTTGTTTTCTGCTGGCCTGGTGTATCTGAATATATTATTGTAGGTTTACTTTCTCAATCTCATTCAGCATCTTATATACCTCTATAGAGGTCCCCTCTATGACATTTGTTTTTGAGGCTTGAAAAAGCTTAGAATATGTAACTTTCTGAAACCTTCTCCTACACGCACTCACACGCGCTCGTGCAGATGAACCAGTCAGTCTCAAAATCTCTCCTCCTAGGAGTACAGCACATACCTCTCCTGGAAGGGACGGAGACAGGAACAATTTCTTTTTCAAAATAGCCAGCTTTCTGTGCTGCCTCAGTTCGGTTCTGGGACTGTACAGCAAACTTGTCCTGCTCCTCTCGACTCACATGCCACTGCATCGCCACGTTCTCAGCTGCATCGAGAGGACGAGAAAAGTAATTCGGGAAACGTTCTGTAGCTTCAAACCTTTATATAAATATGTGCATGGCCAAGAGACCGTAGCTATACATAATGATGGCTATCAAGTAACATGCTACTTTACATCTACGTCCGTTCTATGAGCTTGCACAGCTTTGGTTCACACATTCACACCCTCCAAGGTGGTTTTAGGATAACACACACCTTCCTGGCTTCTGTTAGGCCAGTCATCACAGTGTAAAAGTACTGCCCTCGGGTGACTTTGCTTATCTGTCACCACAGAGGATAATTTTAAAGATATATTGTTGCTCTAAAAAGGTTAAAAGCTTGAGCTTCCAAGGAATTCAACCACAGAATCTTTTGGTCTTAAGTTGGCTGAGCCATGTAGGATGCCTGGGTCTCCACCAAGAATAGTATGTTTGTTTCTATTCGCGAGGATGTTTAAAGTGCTTCACAACTATGAAGTGTGTAGTGACTGTGTATTTTGTAGGAGCATCTTTAGTCAACAGTCATGTTCCCTTTACAGTTCAGAACAGAATTAACCTCCTCCATATTTTGAACTTCAGAAAGGATTCAGGTTTGTTCCAGTAAATTTGTTCACATTTTTCCAATCATCGATGAGCACCTCCACAGCTGAGGTAGTTAATACACGACTGTGTCTTGGAGGCTGGGAACAGGCACTTTGGATTGCAATCTGAGCTCAAACACATTGTGCCCATTATTTCAGTATCTAATTTTAAGAAATAGTTACAATACATGATTAAATAGAAACAAAAAGAACATTTTCTATTCAAATAACGCCCCCCATTTTTAATCAGAACAATACTATCTTATAAATTTATCAAAACCTGCATACAGATTGCTCCATTCCCAAGCTGCTCTCTTTGAGCACTTGGTTGACAAAGGCACTGCCTGGCGTTGAACTGAGACTTGGAAGACCCAGATTTGTGCCAGGTTACCTGGTCTCAGCTTGGCAGCAGATGGGATGTTACAATTAGTTTGTATAAGTAGGAGGAAAAATACAGCCAGTGTTCCCACTTCTTATCACATTCAATGGTCCTGGCTGGAAGGTGCTTGTGTGGACAGGAAGAGACTTGTCTGTGACATTCCATCTCCTCTCATGGTCAAACAGCCCAGTGACCCTTTACCACTCGGATTCACACATGAAGTACGGCCACTTTAATGAGATACTGGAGGGCAGCTGGTAGCCTTAGAACTAAACACCACAGATCCTCAGAGAGGTTAGAAAACAGAGGGAAATGCAATTAATTTCCAATACTTAAATGCAAACCTTGTATTTATTCAGTGACAGTTCTTACCTGTTACACCCATGTGATAGTTATAAAAGGCGTCCATTAGGCCATCACACAGAATGGTATCCTGAAGGGACATGTCTCCTACTTTGACCCCAACTCGCATTGGAACCACATGTGGAGCCTGTGATTAAAAGAAGCAGGCTTTAGCTAAGTGTACTTGCTGTATACTGGGACTCCACATGCAACAAGATCTGGCTGGAGAAAAGGAAGAACTTGCATTTGTATAATGCCTTAGCATACTGAAATGCCTACAAACACTTCACAATAATTACTATCTCAGATAATAATCATGAGAATATCCTGAAGCACTTCACAGGGAATTACTGTGAAATGGAGTGACTGTGCATTTGTCGGCGAATGCTGCAGCCCAATTGCACACAGCATTGTTCCACAAACCAACATGAAAAAAAGCATGACCAATTTTTAAATATTTAGGGGTACAAACAAGTGTATTAATGGCAGCACAATGCAACTGCTTGTTGTGACAGTCACTAAATTGTATCCACCGGTGAACGTTTCTGCCGAGCCATTTAGCTGAGTTCATGTTTGCTTCTTTCACACTTGATCCCTCTGTGCTCAGACAACAGGAGGGAAAAGTTCAACATTCGTTATCTGTACCGTTCTTTGGTTGAACAACAAAATCAGGCAGAACTGAACTACCTCTACATGATATATTCATGATTGAGAAGGGAGCAGAGGGTATGGAAGTGGAGATTAGCAAAGGGGAGAGGCTTGTTTGAAGCATGGGCTGAATGGCCTGTTTCCGAGCTATGTAATTAGAAATTTACATTACAGAAAGAAGTCATTAGGGCCCATCATGTCTGCTGTCTCTATGAAAGAGAATATCCTGAAATTTTGCTCATGTAAACCTTGCTCATGCATTCCACGCCGCCTGCTACTACAATCCTGGCGTTTTCCGTGAGGATGGACTGTGCTCCTAAACACACGGCCTTCAGTCCGGAACCACAGATCATCTGGCAGCTCCATGCTGGCACCGAATAGGGAATGCTTGCTGCCACGCTGGCCTGACGGGCAGGATTCTGTCCTTGGCCTACAAAACAGTGAAAGAAAAGGAATAGACTCCTTTAATACTACAGTGCAGAGTTGGTGGTGATACTTTCTGAAAAGAGGCACGGGAATACTCAGTGAGAATCATTTACTCATATTATTAGTGTTAAGTTAACCATCCTTAACTTTAGTACAGGTTTAGCACAAGAAGTTATATTTTTTTATATATTAACGTCTTTTTCAGACGTTAATATAAAATAGCATTTTATTCTCCAGACAGGAAGATAACAAGGACAATAATTCTTTTAATACCACAGTTGGCTTGCATTCATCCTTTCATCATTTCTCTCCTTCGCTAACCCCTCTTGCGCTGCATAAACAGAGTGCTTCAGAGCTTACATTTCAGCTGCAGCTTGCAAGGTGAATGTTTATAAAGTGTAAACACAATGACTTAATTTTCGGTGGACCTAGTTGCATGACTTCCGAACTCTCCAATCTGGGCGAGGAACGGTAGACTGTAGGCTTTGTATGTTGAGGATAATATTCAGTCTGTGAAAACTCAGTCAGTGCTCTAAACACTATCAAATGATCCTCCTTGGAGAGAACAGAGCTTGGCCTTGAATCCTCTTCAGATTCACCATTGGCTGTCTGTGGATCTCACCTACAAATCCCTTCGCACCCTCACTCTCTCTACCTCTGTGACCTACTTATCCCCTACGTTCAACAAACTCAAGCCTGATGCATGGACAGTCCCTGGACAGTCATTAACAAGTCATCTCTTCCTGTGACCAGGGATCCTTGTACTTGCCGGTCCTCCGCGATTTTGCGGTTATATCCAACACTTTTGATCATTCTATTCTTCTCTACCATCTCTCCTCTGGTACATCTCTGTAGCTCTGCACTATCCAGGTTCCATTCCAACTTATCGCAGGATCATCACTATGTCTCCTTTTCCTCTGACCCACATGATCACGTGTGGCTTGGGGCTCTTTTCTGGCTCCTCTCCTCCTCATCTACATACTCCCCCAGGTTGACATAATTTCCAGGGACTTCAATACATTTGCCACTGACAACCAACTCTACCTATCCCCTTTCCGTTTTCACCTTTGACCCCTGGACAACTGCTTGTCAGATTATCAAGTCCTGAATAAGCCCAAACTTTCCCCCATAGAATGCGTGGCTGAAAGAGTGGTGCGGGAGGCAGGAGTTTCATTTTGTGGACCACTGGCACCAGTATTGGTGAAAGAGGGAGCTCTTCCATCAGTATGTCATTGAACATATTCAAGACTGAGATTGATTTTTAAAAACTAAAGAGATTAAGGGATATGGGGATAGGGCGGGTAACTGGAATTAGGTTAGAAGATCAGCCATGGTCTTATTAAATGGCGGGGCAGGCTTGAGGGGCCGAATGGCCTACTCCTGCTCCTATTTCTTATGTTTTTAATGTTGACAAGACAAAGGCTTTCCTGCTTGGCTCCCGTCAGCATCTCCGCACTTCAGGCATTGGCTCACGTCAGCTCACGGAGACAGTACAGAATATCAAATCAACGATTTATTCAAACCTCATCTTCAACCTTTCATCTGGGGGTCTTATCAAGTTGACGTTCTTCCATCTTCACAACACTGACTGCCAACTTCAGCCACAGCCCCCCTTTCCCCACCCCCAGCCACCCTTAACAGCACCTTTTGCCCTATTATTATCATTATTATTATTATTATTTATTATTATTATTTCCCCAATCCCTCAACCTATCTCCCTCCCAGCTCAGGCACCCATTCAGACTTTGTAAAGCACTTTGAGACAGGTTGAAAGGTCGTATACAAATGCTGTACCGTTCACTATTACTCAAATACAACATTGTACCTGCAGTCAAAACCTGTCCCAAAATAACTTCAGAGACATCTTCTGGCGGGGGGCGGGTGGGGGGGGGGCGCTGTGTTAATGGTAATAGTGATGGTGAAGGCCCCGCACAAACAGCTTCAATTATCCTTCAGCTGTTTGCAGGAAATCCGCCTCCAGAGCAGCGCCTCCGCACACACACACACACCCCCAGTGTCCACGGGTCCCCCCCAGTGTCCCGGGGTCCCCCCCCAGTGTCCGGGGGACCCCAGTGTCCGGGGATCCGCCCCAGTGTCCGGGGGTCCCCGCCCCCAGTGCCCGGGGGTCCCCCCAGTGTCCGGTGGTCCCCGCCCCCAGTGTCCCGGGGGTCCCCCCCCAGTGTCCCGGGGGTCCCGCCCCCAGTGTCCGGGGGTCCCCCCCCAGTGTCCGGGGGTCCCCCCCAGTGTCCGGGGTCCCCCCCCAGTGTCCGGGGGTCCCCCCCCAGTGTCCGGGTGTCCCCCCCAGTGTCCGGGGGTCCCCTCCCCGCTGTACGGCTGTGGTGCTGCTCTCTCTGTGTTACCTATTGGGGTTCTCGCTGCGGAGAGGATCACAACATCGTCTCTCCCACTCATGGCGCTGCACCGAGTGCAGGAGGCGGGAGGGGGGGGGGCACCAGGATATCCGCCCCGCCCCGCCCCGCCCTCCCTGCCAGTCACGCCAACCCTGGGCCGGTCCCTGCAAGGGCCGGTCCCTGCAAGGGCCGGTCCCTGCAAGGGCCGGTCCCTGCAAGGGCCGGTCCCTGCAAGGGCCGGTCCCTGCAAGGGCCGGTCCCTGCAAGGGCCGGTTCCTGCAAGGGCCGGTCCCTGCAAGGGCCGGTCCCTGCAAGGGCCGGTCCCTGCAAGGGCCGGTCCCTGCAAGGGCCGGTCCCTGCAAGGGCCCCCCCCCCCCCCCCCCCCCCCCCCCCCCCCCCCCCCCCCCCCCCCCCCCCCCCCCCCCCCCCCCCCCCCCCCCCCCCCCCCCCCCCCCCCCCCCCCCCCCCGGTCCCTGCAAGGGCCGGTCCCTGCAGGGCCGGTCCCTGCAAGGGCCGGTCCCTGCAAGGGCCGGTCCCTGCAAGGGCCGGTCCCTGCAAGGGCCGGTCCCTGCAAGGGCCGGTCCCTGCAAGGGCCGGTCCCTGCAAGGGCCGGTCCCTGCAAGGGCCGGTCCCTGCAAGGGCCGGTCCCTGCAAGGGCCGGTCCCTGCAAGGGCCGGTCCCTGCAAGGGCCGGTCCCTGCAAGGGCCGGTCCCTGCAAGGGCCGGTCCCTGCAAGGGCCGGTCCCTGCAAGGGCCGGTCCCTGCAAGGGCCGGTCCCTGCAAGGGCCGGTCCCTGCAAGGGCCGGTCCCTGCAAGGGCCGGTCCCTGCAAGGCCCGGTCCCTGCAAGGGCCGGTCCCTGCAAGGGCCGGTCCCTGCAAGGGCCGGTCCCTGCAAGGGCCGGTCCCTGCAAGGGCCGGTCCCTGCAAGGGCCGGTCCCTGCAAGGGCCGGTCCCTGCAAGGGCCGGTCCCTGCAAGGGCCGGTCCCTGCAAGGGCCGGTCCCTGCAAGGGCCGGTCCCTGCAAGGGCCGGTCCCTGCAAGGGCCGGTCCCTGCAAGGGCCGGTCCCTGCAAGGGCCGGTCCCTGCAAGGGCCGGTCCCTGCAAGGGCCGGTCCCTGCAAGGGCCGGTCCCTGCAAGGGCCGGTCCCTGCAAGGGCCGGTCCCTGCAAGGGCCGGTCCCTGCAAGGGCCGGTCCCTGCAAGGGCCGGTCCCTGCAAGGGCCGGTCCCTGCAAGGGCCGGTCCCTGCAAGGGCCGGTCCCTGCAAGGGGGCGCCGGTCCTGCAAGGGCCGGTCCCTGCAAGGGCCGGTCCCTGCTGGGGCACAACCAGGTTCCTACTGACTGCTCGGTAAACAGAGGAGTGTGGAGTAAGGAAACGTGCCCAATGTTTCGCCCTGCTGGGAATCAAACCCAGGTCTCTCGCTTACGAGGCGAGTGCTCTAATCACTGATTTAATTCCTGAGTCTATAATTGAGGAAACAACCAATACTCTGAAATATTGTCTTCTGTCTTGCCTAATGATTTGTAATAATTAATAATGGAAACTTTGTAAGAACCCTCCCGTTTGGCTAGCTTGGCTTTTATCTGACTTGCTAGTTATTGTTGGTGGGACGTACAATGCTGTCCTTCATTAGCACTGTGCTGAGAGTCTATTTCTGCACAAGTTAAATGACTGTACACAGGTAAATAACATGAAATTCTTATTTGTCAGTTTTATTTTCCAGTTCAGTATTGGGGCAAATGACTAATTATCATGGGTTGGCTGCCTAAACATAATGTATGACTTAACAATGTAACTTCAAATATTTTGATTGGATTATTGCTCAAATAATCCTAGATCTTTAGTACATTTTTCAGTACTTTTTTNCTGCTGCTGCAACCTTAGCATTAAATCAAGGACTTATTCTTTTGTAATGATACCCCTCAAGTCTGTAATTTGTCTGTATAGAAGCCTGGATGATGACTGTTGACATTGAAGGCAGATGTCCCATCAAATAGCTGATGAGGAAACTCTGATACTTGGGACAAGAGCTGCTGGAAGGCGTAACCTGAATCCTGGGTTTATGAACCCAGCTTGTATATCCAGTGCTTTGTGTCCATCTTAATTGGTGTGCAGAGGTACACAGCTGATATTCCAACTTTGTACCTCCAACTGATGGAACCACACTCAATGGTTAGATGTCCAAACCATGTACAGGAGGACGGTGACAATGCTCTCATGAACTGTACTATTCCAGGAAGTTTGCAGGGTATTTCTGATAGCCTCTATCCACCTCGGGAACGCTCAAACCTGCCTTTGTCGCATCTCAATTGACTAACTAGTTAGTGATTGTCTTTGTGGGAGATCCAAGAGGGATCTCCTTGGAGTTGACCTTGCTCCAGGGTGACATGCTTAGCAACAGAGTATCCGGATCAAGTCAACCCTCTGTAATATTCTTGGTAGTCTGGTATCGGCAAGCCTTGAAGGGCAGACTGGTTGGTCACTGGGGGAGCAAGGATTCTTCTCACTCAGCTCCTGTTAATTGCCAGCCAAAGGCCTAAGTATGGTGATGGGTTTCCATATGTTTCCGACTCCTAGCCAAAAAATAGTCCAGTTGATATTGATGATTTTGTTTTGCTGTTGGAAATCTTCAACAGATATGGACATGAAGTGTTTCCTTTGCTTCAAAATGGTAGTGTACAAACTGCAGGTTCTCATAGTCAGATTATGTGAAGTATTCAAAATGAAAGACTAACAAAAAAGAATCCATACGATTAGCTTTTATGTGTAATTTTCCAGTGGAGACCAGCATTATCAAATTAAGCTTTGATATCTATTTATTTTCTTTTTTNCAACAGGGAGGCAGTCCGTTATATCCAGGAAAACATGACTGTTAACACGGATGAGCTGGGCAGAGAATGTCTGATCAATGCTGCTAAAACTTCTTTGTCTTCAAAGATAATAGGAGTGTATCTTTTGAACATAAATAGTTAATTCCACATTTACTCTGATTTTGACCACATTATCTATTGAACATAATTCCATGAGGTGCACACCTCGCCTTTATAAGCAACATACAATGAATTATTGTATGCTAATTATTCAACTGTTGGGCCCCCGACAGTAAATGGTGCTTTTCAGTAGAGTTGTGGAATAGTTTTAAAAGGGCAGAAACTATGGTTGCTTTTATTTGTTCTGTGGCCTGTGAAAGCTAAGATGATTACAGTTCCTTTAATGTTGCCCTATCTGAGATTAGTTTGCTCAATGTAACCCAGGGCTCAAACCTTGGGATTTCCAGATGCTTCATTTTCAGCAATATTTCAACAGAGGTGCTTCCAGTCTCATTATATAATCGCTTCTACTACTAAAGTATAGTAGAAATAAAATATAGTAAAGTATAAAAACTTTAATGCTCTTCCTTGCCACTCTTTAATTATCATTGCTCTATTTATTTTTGAAAATATTGTTAAACTTTGTTTTCTTATATTAATCTTGTAGAGTTCAAGGTAATTTCAGAATGAATGCTTGCTTGAAGTAGTTTGAGACATTTTATACAACTTCTCAAGTGTCAGTTGGTTGAAAATTCTGGGTTAAAATCCCAATGGGCCCCCTCAACCCTTTACTCATTGAAACTGATAAAATGAGGACCGTATCTTAAAAATAACTGGTGGTGGGAAGGTTAAATGGAAACTCCTGAGGATTGAACTGCTTCTGATGAGGCAAGCCAAGTGAAGGAAGGGAGATGTACAGTGATCCATGTTGATATCATCTTGCCTTATTCATCAATGGGACTTAGAGTTGTCAGTAAGTCCTTAACCTGGCAAGCAATTTTCTTTTGTGTTGTATAACTATAAAGTGACCACCAGATAATTCGTTTATTTACACTGCTCTATGTGTTGATTTAAATAGTCCTGAAGTTTTAATTTAAACCAAATGAAATGAAGTTAATTGAAATGTTCTTTTTAGGAATGGTCAAAAGAGTGATTAATGCTAAAATTGCATGTCTGGACTTCAGCCTGCAAAAGACGAAAATGAAGCTGGGTGTTCAGATTGTTATCAATGACCCAGAAAAATTGGACCAGATCAGACAGAGGTATGATGGAAGTTAATGGGATGTAACTCTAAATTAGACTTCTCTTTAGTAATTTATTCTCAGATTAGCATCAGGATTTTTAAAGTTATATTTAGTGATTCATGTTGTAATTGTAGTGATATATTGGAAATCCTACCTTGATATTTAGAGTGGTTAGCAAGAATGTGCAAATACTCTTCCTTAAACACTGATTGAACAGGTGACAGTTCCACAAGTGTAAGTAGACAGGAGACTTCAGCAATTAGAAACCATTATTTATTTTATCTCTTTCCAAAAGCACAACTGAGCTATATGTAATGTAGTTTCCATTAATTCCACTTCCCATTGTTTTCCACTCATTGTAATAGAACATTTTTTAAATATCCAAACCACATAGTTTTCCTCCAATTTATTTGCTGCTGTGCTGATGTCAGTCTTGTGAGCAATTTTACCCTTGGAACACACAATACTCATCTCATGTAACTGAAGAACACTGTAGTGTTGCTACAGTAATATGTGAGCTTGACACTAAATGATCCTTTAGTATTTCAAATTGATTTAAAATAGTTTTAATTAGTGTGGCACATTACACTCCATTTAGAATTATTTGTTGTCGACTGTATATCCCGTCAATGATATAATGATGTTGAGTCAGTAATCCTTAACTATGAATGTGACTGCCAGTGATCTGTGCCAAGCTGATATTTGGTGTCCGCGCTGAGAGCCGCAGCTTGCTCTTAACTAAATATTTCCTCTCTACCACATGAAAATTTGATCTATCCTGTTGTCTGATAATTGTGAATATGCACACTTTGAGGTGTCTTTTTTGTATTTATAATCTTATGTTTGTAAAATAGCTTTGTAGGTAGTGATGAACTTGTTTTGCTTTCAGAGAGTCTGATATCACCAAAGAGAGAATTCAGAAGATTCTGGCCACAGGTGCCAATGTCATTCTGACTACTGGTGGCATTGATGATATGTGTCTAAAATATTTTGTGGATGCTGGTGCCATGGCAGTACGCCGTTGTCTGAAGAAAGACCTCAGACGAATTGCTAAGGCCAGTGGAGGTAAGTGCAGCATTTTTTTTTACTGGTTACTGTTGTGAATTATATATACTTTGAAACTAGTGATCCCCTGCCTTATTGGACTCCAGTTATCCGGAATTCCGACCTGGTTGGACGAGGCCCAAAACCAAAAACATTCATTTTATTCTGTGGGCCAAACTCCTAGCGCGGATCAATGGTGCACTGAGTAGCCTCTGTCTGTGCTGACATTCATAGTGGCTAGTGATACTGACTGACTCAGATTGTTTGAATCCAGCGAGCAGAAAATGGCTTATTCGTTATCTTCTTAGTCGAAAATTGATCTGATAACTCGTTCTGTAATATGGCATCTTGCATTACAAAGGCCTCCAGCCCGATGCTGTGATTGGTAGCGGAGGTTGGGTGCCTATGCTCAGATGCGTTGCAGGGGCTAAGCCGTGGCCTCCTACGCTGTCTTACATCTTATCGTGTGACAGGATAGGGCCAAAAGCCACGGAGCAGCTGGGAGGACCTATATCAAACTCGCTACTCCGGATAACTTATTGCTCAGCTCTTTACCCTTGGAGTGACAAGCTATCGAGTTTAATGTCCAATATTAATATCATTCAATTTTGAAAGGGTGGCATTCGGAATCAGCTGGAATTTTCCTAGTGATTCTGACGTCCTCCCGACATGAAAAGCGCTATACAAATGTAATTTTGTTGAAGTGTTAAAAGTACGTAAATCAGAAAAGGGTGTCTTGGACTGAGAAACCTATTCTGATGATTTTTACCTGTTTTTGTTTATAGCAACTATCTGTTCAACACTTGCAAACTTGGAAGGAGATGAGAGTTTTGATCCCTCTTTAGTGGGCCAAGCTGAGGAGGTGGTTCAAGAAAGGATATGCGATGATGAACTGATACTTGTTAAAAAGTAAGAAAAACATGTACAACTTACTGAACTCCCATTTATTTGCTGCCCTGCTAATATCTGTGGCATGAGCAGTTGTACGCTTGGGATAGAGAATATTCAGCCTTGTGTGACTGAAGAGCTTGCTGATGTCTTCTCAGTAATGCATTAGCTGAACATAAAAAATTATCTCCAATGTATACAGTGTAGTATCTTGCAATGCTACTGTTAATGTTGCAGAATTGAAAAAGATGTTGGGATTGTAATTGTGTTGAATCTTTTTTTATATTGACTGCACAGATGCAGATTAAATTTGTTGTGCATATAAATATAATCCAAGCAGTTTCCTGATGAAAGTAGAACTGTCACATCTATTCCTGGTTTAAGTCGGCAATGAATATTGTTTTGCATAACAGTATATAATCAATAGGTATTGTTCATTCAGGAGCAGTGCACACAAAGTTTGTGATTGAAAAAGGAATCTAGATTCTGATTTCTAAAAGTGAGATATAAATTGATGCTGACATTTTAAAATGAGTTTAACCCAACCCTGAATGAAGGTGCTTTCCCAGTAGCAGACTGGTGGTTCTGTGATGGGAGGAAGTTTTGGGTGGGAATTCTGGTAGGATGAGGTCAGATGGGCTGAAGGACCTTCTTCATCCAAACCAATCTTGTGAGGACAAATATTTGGGCATTCTCCTGGGAAAATGTTTGGACCAGGCATTCTTGTGGGGTTAGCCGTTTGATTCCAGCTATTTCTAGTGTTATAGATATGGAGAGAGACAGAGGAACTGGCTGCAGAGCCACCAGTGGCAGTCCAATGCTCAGTTTTGATATCAATCTGAGTTTGTCTCCACTGTTAACTTCATTTCCAGATTATTTCTATGAAGAGCCTTCAGTTTAGGTTTTATCTATCTGGTGATTCAAGTGGATGTTAAAGAATCCTCCTCCATACCCTTCTGTCTTTCTCTTCACCCCCCTCCACCCATGCTATTTCGAAGAAACATTCTCCATCCTAAACAGTTCATCTCATTATTGTAAAATGCTGCTTAGCACAAATGAAACTTTCCATTTGCCAATAACAATTATTTCTTATTATTCTCATTCTGTTAAAATATTTACATGAAAGGCATTTTGTAAAGGTAAGCTTGATTCTATTAAAATCTGCACCCGTTTCACTATCTCTCATGAGCTGGTAACTTGGATCAGTCTTCTCTCAGATATTAACTGATAGAGGGATAATGATCCACTGTAGAACAATTGGCGTAGGTGCATTGAGATCTTGGTTTGCTATTTGAAATGCTGTGTGCTTCTTTCAATTTTTTGTACATTCTTGAGTGCCTTTAAACCTCCTATTGTTAGCTTCACAACGGTTTTCAGCATGACTATTTCAAGCATTATGAATTAAGCTTCACAGATAAGTATTGCTCTTGCAGTCACTCCATACTGTTTTTTGTGCAGTGATGCAGCTTTGTTCTAGTGTTTTCAAAATGACTTATCTTTCAAAGTAGTTTTGTTTGCTGGATAATAAATTTGGCAAACTTCAGTGCAAAGTCATTGCATCCACCCTTTCTGGGCTGTTCTGTATGAAACTATTTGAAGTTTCTTTTTTCATTTTTCTATTTTGGTTTATAATTATATCTGGTGCAGACTCGGTATTTTTATTTGAAAGTATTTCTTTAAAAAAATCTGCTGAAGGTTTCTGCAGGTATTCTTCTCTATAGCTGTTTCTCTGAGTGCCTTTGTGCAGATCCTCAATAGAATGAATACCTTTACCCATGGGGACATTCTGGAATGCATGCTATTCCATGCACCATTATCCTCAGTTATTTGGTCCCAGTTTACAATCCTTCCTCCCAGCTACCTGTACCGATCACAAAATACTAAATGAAATTTGTATAATTACGTGAAGGCATCCCTTGGAAAATGAACCTGGAAACATACTTTCAGATGCATCAAGACAGCAGAAAATGAGGGGCATGAGTTTAGAGTTGCAAAGGTTAATTTTCAACAAAAACAACTTTGATTTATATAGCACCCTTTACATAGGGCAGAGCCTCAGAGAAAGACATATTCAGGATAGACATCAGGAAATACTATTTTACCTAGAGGGTTATTAATGACTGGAACAGGTTACCAGGAAGGATGAGGTTAAGATGTGATGGAAGGATGTTAGGGTATTCTGGAAATATAAGATCAAATAGGTTGAAGAACTTTCACCCTGACTCATCTTGTAATCACTCAGAAATGTATAATTTGGGTAACATAAAGCAAACTTTCAACTAGGATTAATTCAGTAGCAAATTATTGAAATCAATATCATGCATTTATCTCTATGATACGGTCTTCATGGTTTCTAATGCATGTCCAAAGTGGAAATTTTGGTCAATACAATTCTCGTGATGGCTTTTAGCTAGACAGTGGAACTAGTGCCAATTGGTGCCAGGCCCAAATCTAAATTGTGACTTCTGTGAAATTACAGATAATCGCTCATTCCTCTCGTGATCTCTTCAGCATTTTAAGAGTCTGAGCTAGAATTGAACCCAACTATCTGGGAGTTGGGGGATGGTGTGGGTGGAGGGAGAGAGGAGAAAGACATAGCACTAGAAAGTGTCTCCCATACATAATGTTTTTTAAAATTATTTATTTCTTCAAACACTGCAGTTGGAAATTCATAAGATCTGAATAATGCATTTAAAATAATGCATTAAAAAGTGTACAGGGTGCCTCATTGACAGTGTTCATTAAACACGTTTTATATGTAAATTCAAGTCCACTTTTGTGCGTGGAGCTTCTCTAGCAACTGTCCGTAATGTAACTAATTGAGCCACTAGGGCTGTCATTCAGGCTAGTCGGAATTTCTGGCATTTGGTCTGTGAATTTGAAGGTCAGTCACTGTGTGCTGCTTGCTGATATATAGTCTGTGTTGCCAGTGCAAGATGTTGCAGGTGACAAGGATTTGGATCTGAATGTCAGCCTCCATATGGTTAACTCTACTGGGAGATCCAATGAAGTATTAAAAAAACTGTCATAAAATATGTAATAAGTAATCCTTGCATTAAACATACTGCCTTAGCGCAATGTATACCAAATGCAAGGATTATTATCACATTATCAATGTCTCTAAGTCCTGCACAAGATTTTAATGTGAAGTGTTTTTTGGGGGTCAGCTGGGTGCCTGATACATGCCGCAACCTATCACCATGCTTAAGAGTATCCCAACCATCATCTCACCTACACATGGAAATTCTAGAGATATCGCAATCTGTTTACCTAAATCCAGAGCGTGTTAGGCACAGGCTAGCAAGAGCCAAGGCTTGAGGACCCCAGAGCATGCCATTGGATATTAAGATGGAGTCTAACTAGCTGAAGGCAAGGTATGAAAAGTGTAATGGGTAAATGTGTATTTATGGGCAAACATACAGGTTTGGCGAGCTTTCATGCCACTTTTACTTTACCAGTTGTCTTTGGAGGCAACAAGTAATGTCCACTGAATAGTTTTGGCAAGACCCGAGATTCAGTAGTGTCAGATGTTTGAGTCAGAGAGTGTTGCTTCTGTAATAGCAGATTATCTGTAAAGCAATTAATTACTGGTGCCACTGTCAGACTGATGCCTTCATAAAAAAACTTCCTATCAATTTACCCCCAATCTTTGTTTGCAATCCAGAGACCGAAATTGTGTGCAGTACTCCAGATGTCATCTCGCCAAAAACTGATTACTAACATCACCTCTTTTGACTTCAACGTTATAATTATGGGAATATTTTTTAAATGTTTCCCATCTTATCTATTGCTGCCATATGGCACCCAATGCTCTCCAGAATCCAGATAAGTGGAATATGTCCTTGCAGGGAGAGAGTACATTGCATATTTCATTCCAGACAGGAAGATTTCCATGTATGGGTGTAATACATATGTGCAACTCTGTCGGATCTGGGTACTGTTAAGAATGGTGATGGATTTCTGCGTGCGACTGACACCAAACTGACCAAAAAGTCAGAACATTACACTCTTGCTTTCGTGTTTTTTTAAAAATATCTGGTGCTAAATGAACGTTAAATAAGTTGGCATTTTCTGCTAAGTAAGACGAAGTCAGTGAAGTACCAAACCACTCTATCATTGCTTTGTGATGATCGGGGACAGTTCATAAATTAGATGTGCCCACACGTGGATGTCAAAGGCTGCAAGGCAGTCGTGCTTCTTTGAGGCGAAAGGTTTTATTTTATTTAATGTCTATATTGTTTTTTGTTATGAATCTGTAATGTGGACTGTAAGGATCATTAGATTATAAATGTCACTGAGCTAACATTGTGGAGAGAAGTCCAACTGTATAGTCTTCTGAGTGCTTGCATTGGATTTTCACTGATTCAAAAGGTCAGTGATCACAATTCCTGCAGTAATAACGAAACACACACCTGGAATGGCAATATTTCTCAATTGAAAAGGAAATCTTGCAGTGAAGTCCAAACTAGGACGAAGTTGGCTGCCACGCTCACTTACAAACAGTCACTACCCTTTACAATAAATTCCTGTGAAGCACTTTAAGGCGCTATATCAAACGCAAGGATTATTATCTGTTTTTGTGTCCTGTTGCTCATTGGAACTGAATTGCCAGGGAATGGAATCAACAAAGACTTAAGACGCAGAGCACAAGAAAAAATCAGAGGTTTAATGCATCTCCTATGGTTAGGCTAGAGTAACTTAGCAGAGATCAGATACTGGGTTCCATGCCTAGCATCTTGTCCTAGGAGGTTACCTGATCTTGAAGGAAGTATTTAACGTACGCATTTTAGAAAAGGGAGGATGTCACTTTTTTTAATCTCAAATTAACAGGTTTGCTTGAAATTTTTTTTTGTATCAAAGCCAGAATCAAAGTTACAGAACGTGAAGCTTTTGACGGATCCGATCCATCTTGTGTTTCTTTTTTTATTTAAGTTGCATGTAAAACCAAATCACTTCCTGAGGAATACATGTGGGACAATCTTTCAATCCTGATGATTTATTCTTAGCACATAGGTGGTATT